CTAAATATTCAAATTGTTTATGTACTGTAATTTATTTTTAAATTGTTTTTGTTAACGTTTTTTATATGCGGCATATTACAATCTGAATTTTTACTTTTTTCTTATTTAGTTTGCTTTCTAATGCGAAGCACATGCAACTGGTATTTATATAAAAACAGAAATAACGAAAATAACTTTTTTTCAATCTTAATTGAAATCAAAAAGGAAAATATTACATAAAGCATCGTGTTATGTATAGAAACACTGAAAAAGATTTTAGATGGTTATATCGTAATATCCTAGTTTATTTGGAAATCCTTGAGAACTAGAATATTGAAGAACTGTGTAGCGACTTATTTGTTCTGTAAGCCAATGACAAATCCAAGGAAGGATTAATTTATTCTTTATTCCAACTCGATGATAGATGGCAAGATGGCCCCCTTCTCGGGATTACAGTAAGCCTCTATTTGGGCTTTCAACTCAAGATAGAAAATAAGGCTTTCCCGGGAATCGAACCACGGACCTCTGGAATACGCGCCCAGCGTGCAGACCACCACACCACGAAGTCATGCCGAGAAGGTGGGAGAAATACCTCATAAACTAACAGAGTTGGCTCTTACTTAAGATCACCGGCGGATATTAACAGGCATGTAACAATACGGCCGAACATAGTAAGATTAGGCTTAAAGAAACGACGTGCCCAGAAGTCAGAACACGCATTACTAAGAGCTTCTAAGCTGTCCTACGTCACCCAATGTGTGTCACCTTAGGTATGTTTTTATGAATGTCCCCTTATACATCTCATGCACCCCATGTTTCTAAGTAAGATGTATTTAGGCATCTGAATATATATGTATCTTCTGCACAGTCTATCTCTAGCTACCGTATGTTCTTATGTATCATGTATCTAGACAATAGATAAAGGTGTACGTGACGCTATACCGATTAACCGTATTGGTAGAGGGATGGTGCCCACGTCCTCCGTCGCATGTCGCATGAGGTGACCGAGACTTCCACTTAAATACTGGTTCTACCTCATGTACATAAAACACGATCCTGAAAACTCATGCTGGCAGGGAATTGTAGATGGTTGATAAAGGAGTAAAAAACAACCTAATCAAATATAAAAATAACTATTAGAACATTAAAATAAACCCCTATAATATAATCTTTATTTTGGACACTCCACTTCAGATCCTTAAGTTTATTTATTCTTTATTCCTTGAAGCATAGATTTCTATATAATCGATAAATCTATAATCTGTCATATCCATAGACTTAACCTACACGGAACTGAAACAGATTTTACGACTGAAATCCTAAGCGCATAAGATTTGCCTACGTAACCTCAAAAATTACGCTGCGTATTTCACGTACTTTATTTCTCAATCGCTCAACGTTTACGGTTGCGTAATGAAGCCGTTTATGCTATACCTCCAATTAGCGTTTGGAAAATTAAGTTGCTTTCCCTTACATTGGTAAAAAAAATTCCTCCGGAGAAACGACCTTCTCCTTATAAAAACGGAAAAGAGAAAGGGAATATCAAGCGGCTGTTGTCTTGGTGAAGAGGTTTAAGGAGATGGGAGAGGACCCAGTAATCATTCGGTTGGTACGACAAAAAAAAAAAATAAAGGAGAAGAAAAGAAAAACGACAAACAAACAAACCAACCGTGTATCACCAAAGACGCTGAGAAAGATTTTGAAGCGGCCTCTCTCGATCCGCAATTTTCTTCCACTAGTTAAATGTCTTTCTTTTCCACCCCTTTTTTTTTTCTCTTTTATTTTTGCCCCTAAAAGGGGGCTGCAATAATAATAATAAAAAAAACGGCACTTCCAATGTTTTGTTCCGTTTTGTTTTTCGACCGCCTTCAGTCTTTTTCTTTTACGTCTCCTGACCCCCAACTGATTTTCTTCTTCATTCCCTAATGGGCTGGATTCTGGAGAAACAGAAAAAAATAGAACAAATCGGGATGTGCACATTTTGTGCTTGTAGATTTAACAATAAAATTATTTTCTTCTCTTTTGTTCTTTCGGAAGTATGGGGTTTGTGCTCTTCTTTCAGTGTGTTTGCTACCAGCAGTCTCCGTTTTCTTTTTTGTTAATTTTTCACTTCGCGTCGATTAGTGTCCAATGAAATCGTAAATTCATGTACTGCATTCTTAAGCCAGAGTTTAAATAAGTGGAATAACGTAAAGGAAAATCTTAATTCAAAAATGCTGTACTTGTCTTTCAGCCAAAAACATTTCTTTGACTATAATTCACTTTGAATCATTTCCTTGCTTGGAAACGTAAAAATACAATCTATCTTTCCTTCGTTTTTTCTTTTTATAAGGTCCAGTACACTGAGTAAAGTATTAAACTACAACTTTTCTGCTCTTTAAAATTTAATATGAAATTTAGGTAGACTTTTAAATTAGAAGAAATTTAGGTAGATTTAGGTTTGTATTAAGTTTTTATAAGCCTAAATATTTTTAAATAGTTGCTTTTCCAGACTGGCCTTAAATAGAAAATTAAGGATACATATTCGGGCTTTTATACTTAGCCATTGCTGAGTTATTCATTAATTAAAAGTTAGTTACCGTTGTTAAAATTTTAATTTAAAAAGTTATTAAGTAACATTGTTACTGACATTTTAGTTAGTACAGTGTATTAAGATTTTCGATGCCAATTATGAAATGACGCAATTGGCTAATTTGTTTTGAGCTTTAATTTTAATTGGTCAGAAAAAATATTATTTTACAGATTAGCGAAATGAACTTTCCTGCGTTATTTCAATAATTTTTTTTAAAATCTAACCATACGAAAATTTTTATCAGCTAAACGATAATAATTCCATAATTAGCGGAATTAGTTTTCCTGCATTATTTCAATAAATTTTGAAAACAAAATCAAACCATGAGAACATTTTTATCAGCTTGTAAGGTTTATCCTAGTTTTATAACAGTTATTTTAAGTTTATGAAGCTTTCCTATCTCTTCTAGCTTCAGCTTACAATTCCTTACCAGAATAATTTTTAGAATTGTGTTAAATGCAAATGAGAAGTAGAAAGTAGTATTTAAGTCAAAGTTGCACTGACTTCGAGAGAGACAGTTAGGATTCCTAAAAAGCGCGCGTTTGCCGATTGGCTAGGTCTCTCTAACTGTTACTATGTTCTGCCGTATTACATGCCTTTTGATAGCTTCGCCAATTGATTTAATGTTACGGGCCATAGGTTAGAATTTGTGTTAGCTTTAGCTAAATCTCTTTAGTTAGTCATTCGATAGTTCTTATTTCTTACATTTTAGGTTAAGCCCAATTGGAGGCTTTGTTTTACGCCCTGAGAAAGGCGCAGATTGTGTATTTTTATTTGGAGAAAATAAAGTGTAATTAACCCTTCTTGAGTTTGCGTTCCTGTTCTCGGACTTAAGCGATTATTCGCTTAGTAGTTCACTATGTTTCTCACTACGTAGTTTAGTAGAATAAAAGGGAGGAACACTACAAGCTAAACAATAATAATTCCGTCATGTTAACAAATATCATATGCTTTAAATAAACGAAACGGTTATAATCTTATGATAAATGTAAGCTTACTTTGCTAGTAAAATGCGATTTTTTTTGTGCACATTTGGAAAGCTTGTAGAGACATTAGGATTTTGAAAAATTAGCAACGCCTTCGACCAACGGGAATCGAACCACGGACCTCTGCAATACCGGCTCAGCGTGCAGAACCACTACACCACAAAGGCACGCTAGGAAGGCGGGAGAAATACATTATATACTCCCGCTTTTTAAAGGGCGACTGGGATTTTTAGGGGACCCAATCGCCAAATCCTAGGTGTGGAGAATCCTCATCTAACAACCTTTTAGCTCGGGCGCCACTGTAGAGACATTAGGTATTTTTGGAAGGAGGCAAGATGAAAAATGAGCAATTGCCTTCGCTGGGAATCAAACCACGGACCTCTGGAATACCAGCCCAGCGTGCAGAACCACTACACCACGAAGGCACGCTAGGAAGGCGGGAAAAATACCTTATAAGCTTAACAATATTTGTGCTTTTCAGGGAAGAAATATAAAAAGGATAAATAAAACAGTTTAAAGGAAATTTATTATTCATATTCCATGTTAAAATTAACTAAGAAGTTCTTATTAATGTTTAACAAATTTCTTAGAATTCGTGCTTGGATAAAGTTTCTAAATGAATCTGATTAGCAAATTAATTTTTCAGAATTGCTTTTAATATATGTTAGCTTAAACCTTTACATATTTTAAAATAAGCTTTTAATACATGGGATTTCAATAGCAGGTGTACAGCTATGCCTCTGAGAAATGCAGATATTTTTCTAGAAGATGAAGATCCTTTCCACTAAGTTTAAAAACGTGTTTATAAACTTATAAGCGTGTTTATCTTAACTAAAGATTACGTTGTTAGAACATAAATCAACAAGTGATGATCACCACGAATACTAAGACATCTTTTTTTTTTTTTTTTTTTTTTGGTTTATTTCTTAAGAGAAAGATGCCAAGAAGCTGATGACAATAAAAACCTTTGTCCCAAAATGTGCTGGAGTATGGAAGCTGGACTATACGATTATGTTATTAGTGAAGGCCAGTAGTTTAAGAGGTTATAACTTAATTGCTATAATTTCCATCTTTATTGCGATTAAAGTTGTTAGGTCGTTAGGTTATTTTCGATGTCAGGAAGCTGAAACATGTGGAATGCCCTATCCGGCGCTCGGACCTGGCCCTCTCGAATACTCGCCAAGTGTGCTAACCGATACACCACGAAGGCATGCTGAAAGGAGGGAGAAAATATTGAAACAGCTATAATTTTGTAATCATCAGCATATTGTTTCCCTTAAGAAAACAATATGCTGATTTTTCTGAATTATTAATGATTAATACTGATGGTCTTTGGTGAAATATTTTTCCCGAAATCTTATGAAACTTTATTTTGAAATAATACTTTATATTGCATCATTGTCTATATGTATTTTACTTTACTTACATGTATTAAACAATTTTTTCTCTTCTCTTTCCAACAGCTGACATGGTTAGATGGTGAGGGTAATGTTGTGTCTGATGGCATCGAGTACACGACGCAACTTCTTGGAGACGGAAAAAGAGCGAATGCCGCCCTTAAATGGACCCTCACACCTCGAAGAGAGCACGATGGCAAAACTTTCACGTGTCGATCTGAAAATCCAGCTCTCACTCAACCCCTTCACGCGAGAATCAGTCTTGAAGTAAAATGTAAGAATTAATTTTTATGTTGTTTTGTCGTTCGTCGTTGAAATATCTGTAAATGTTGCTGTACACCAATATAGCTAGTATCTTTAGCTGCAACTCTTTAGCTGCAACTTAGCTGCAACTGATTTTACTTAACGTAGTCGATTATTTTCATAGAAAGCAAATCCTAATTTACATAATGATGTTCATACTTTACAAGATTTTAAAAATTATAATGATCTTAGTTAATTTATTAAAACTTGTATGATCTTTTATGCGAAGTTTTCTGCGGAGGCGAAACCTAGTTTCAGTTAATTCAGTTTCCAAAACTGATTTAATAATACTTTTGTTTAAAACTAAAATGGAATTCGTTTGAATAAAAAAAATTAATTAAATTAAACACAGTATTTCAATTTCAAGTAATTCAATCTTTCTGTTAGAGAGAAAATTAAAGGAGACTTTTACATCTAAATTTAATTTTAATTCCAAATTCAAATTAACTAGAGAAGTCAAACTCTTACCAAAAACGGCAAATATTTCCGAAACTTTAGTAACACTCAACAGCGAATGATCTGAGTTAAGTCACCTACTAAGAAATGCCGCCCTTAAATATTTACTGGATTTCAAGGAAGACTGCCTATAGTTATATATGCAGTCAACTGAATCAATGATGCTTTCGGCATAGTACCTGCTTGTTTGTTGAATATTCTTGCGTTTTACTGGAAATAGTGAATGGGAAAGACTACAGAAATTTGGACAGTCTGAAAGCAAAATTAAACTAATCAATATAACATAAAGTCGAATTCGTTTAAATACAAAGTAGTTTTCAAACTTTCATCATAAATCTGATATTAAAATAAAAATGTTAAATATAGAATAAGCAACCATAGCAGCTTTAAGCATTTTGGAGGCTTCTGATTTTAGATTCTCATCCTTTAAAAAGGCAAATTTAGTACTTTAATATGCTATAATGACACATTTCATCATGCTTATTTTATTAATATTTATTCTAATTTCATGGTAAAATAAAAGCGGTTCAATAAATGATGGGCTTAATAAAGAGCTCATTAATAAATAATAAGTTTTACGTCCGTATACCATACTAGATAGCAAAATTACACAGAGCAATCAAAATTTATTTTCACAATTCTTATCATCGTCTTATCTTTTATCATGTTTATTATCATATTAACATATTTTAACTTAATCTTGTAAGAATTATGTTAATTTTATTAACAGTTAAATTTTGAGTTAAACTTCCTTTCCTATCGCTTCTTAATTTCAACTTACCACTTCCGGCCAGAACGTAGTTTTAGAATCACGTCTAAATGTAAATTGAGGAAGAGTGGTATTTAACCGCGAAGTTCTGTTGTCTTAGTCAGAGAGAACCAGAGATATTGGTTAGCACGCGTCCGCCTTTTTAGGCTATGTTCTCTTCCTATTATTACGCTCGGCCGTACTTTAGGCCCTTGATATCTTCGCAGTCAATTAGCGTTAAGGGGCCAACTCCGTTAGAAGTTTGATAGCTTCGGGTATATCTCTTTAGTTAAGATTAGTTTAGTTTAATTCTTAGTTTCTTAAGTTCAAGCCCGAGTTTTGGCTATATTGTACAACTCCAAGACGGAGTTCTGTTAAATCTTATTTGAATAATAAAAGGTCTTTTAACCCTTTCCAAGTTTATTTACTGTCTCACGAACTCAAGCGATTATTCGCTTATTAGTTCTTAAGATTCTTCACATTCAACTGTAACTTGAAGTAAACAGTACAGAATCTTTATAATCTAATGGAGTTTCATTTGTGATAATTCTGTTTGGTTTTAATGTTTATAAATTAATACATCCGACAGTAAGTCATTTAGCTATTTTATTAAATAATATTGTGTAAATGGGATTAATGTTCTTTTCCTTTTCATGGAATTCTTACTCTTTTATTTTACCATTCTTTTTATAATAACATATTGCCCAGACGTTAGAAAAATATGAAATAGATTCTCTGTCGCTAGATTTTATGTATACTTTATCAAACAAGTGGCACACTTCACGTATCTGAGAGTATCAGTTAAAAAAATCTTTCATGTATATATTTATACAGATATATATGCACCTTAAAAGCTTAGTCTAGACTAGACATACAATAGTAGCAACAGAGGAGAATAAATTGATGCATTTTCAGAAATGGCTTTGTATCTATGAGCTTATAGATCAATGTTCCTTTCACCGAAGAAAGGAGTGAAAAAAATAAAAATCCTTTGTTTTTCGAGGCGTAGTTGCAAAGAGGATTTTCTCTGCATCACTACTGGTGGTCGGATGCCATTACGTGTGACAAGTGGGTAATAGAGATGGATGTTTCTTTTCAGATCCTCCAGAAATTACGCTGAAAGTGAGTGCAGACAAGATTATGGAACTCGATAATGTGAAGTTTACCTGCGAAGCTGTAGCCAATCCAGCTGATGTCAACATCAAATGGTATAGGTACGTAACATATGAATATCTATATTATTAAAATACATAATTCACTGTAGTTTTAACTTCACGAAGTTTTGGAACAGTTGCTGAAAAAGTGCATATACAGGAGAAGTTTGAAATGTACTTAGATCAAACTGAAGGTGACATACAGAAAAATCAATTTTTGAACTCTATTAAGTAACTCATTATTTAAATAACAAGCAGTTTAACGACAATTAAAATAGTCTAAACCAGTTGTCTTCGAGTTGCGTTCCGCGAAACCCTGGGGTCAAACCGCAAGTCAAACCTCAGAGTTTCACGAGTTAAAGTAAAAATTCGGAAAGAAGGTTGTAAAGCACTCGCACTACTTAGCTAGTGATTATTAACTAAAAAATATAAGTATATTGTTATTTACAGATTATTTTTTGAAACTTAATGTGTGGTCATTATACGTTAAAGAGAATGACATGCAGTGTTTTGCGAAACTAAAGACTTTTCTTTAATAGAAAATGAACTGAATTTAGACCACAGTGTTAAAATGTATACAATGAAGTACCTTTTTCAAATGAAGAAAATTATAATAGAATACTTCCTAGCAAAAAAAAAAAAAAAAAAAAAAAAAAAAAAACTAAATATGATTAGATAAAAAGTCCAATATTGTATTATGATAATTCAAACGATGTGCCAGTGAAGGAAAGGCGTTAATTAATCAACATGAAAACAGATTGAACATTTAAATTTAAGAAAATACAGCTCCTCAAACTTTGGCTGTAGATTCACGCAGAATGCCTAGAAGCTTCTCACACAGCTATAAACATTTTAATTCAAATTGGAATAAGGCATTTGGGTGCAAAATCTTTCGCAACGCATATGACAGCAAAATGCAGTAGAAACAAGTTAAATGCAGGATATGAAATGCGACAGCAGATAACATCAACAGAACTAGACTTGAAAAGCTAGTGTAAAAACATGCAAGCACACCCCTATCACTAAATATAATGCAAGGTTTGGAGACACCTGGAGTATGAGTTAATGTTATTAATAAGTAAATTACATTAATATTTCTGTTAATTTTTTTTTAAATTCAATACTTTTGTTTTTGTTTAATTATCTTTATATAAGAGCCCATTAATAAATATAACTACATATTGATCTACTTTATATATTATTTTAGTGCTATAACATATTGATCTATTTTAAATATTATTTTAAAATACATTCTTCTAAGGGTAGGATGATGTTCCCAGAAAACATTATAATCCTAAGGGTTCCGTGAGTCTACAAAGTTTGAAGACTATTAATCTAAACTAACAAGCAATCAGTCTAAACTATGGATGCGGAAACTAATAGTGTAAACTAGGGATACAGTAACAGTTTGTAGCTTATATAATTAGGGTAATTTATCACCATTAATTAACATTAATAAGTAATATTACTGACGTAACATTACTAGTAATACTAAGATCCTACAAAATAACGAGTAACATTATCACCCATGAAAAGTGACGAAATTTTAAAGATTCTTGCCTGTTCTTGTACTTTTAAACCTAAAAATGGAGACAAAAAGGTAATGAAGAGGTTTTGAAATAAACAGCAATATTAGAAGAAAACTAATTCTTCATAGTAATAAAGTGTTAAGTTTTATTATTATAATACAAAGTAATTTTTCTTTGAGTATTAAGATCAAAGTTAATCATTTACCTGCCAATGCTGCAATTTATGACAACAAAAATTGTTTTAGTTAATTATTTTTAATATTTTTCATAATTGCTGAGTGGAATTTGTATTTTAAACACTTTGTTCCTGCTGAAAATAATGGGATATTATTTATTATTTCTCAAAACAGGCATTTTTTAGATGCTTTTATGATTTATTTTAGATTTCTTACATGGGGACTACTGAAATCAAATAACTAAATTTAAAATGCAAAATATTTACTCAATAAATACTTCATAATATTCCAGTAGCTGTATTTCTACTAAGCTATGTTTAAAAAAGAATTTTTTTAATATGTGTAAACTGGGTTCTCAAAGCGGAGTATGGGTGTTCTCAAAGTGAAATATGTCAAAAAATCCCTTTAAAGATTTTACTGCGTCGTAACAGTCATATGCTTTGTCTAATTAAGAAGTAATAGAATAAAATATCCAAACAATTATTAAATTTCTAATTATAACTAAATTTGTCACGTACTCTTAAGCATTAAGATATAATAATTTTTGTCTCTCATAAAGAGCACTATGGGTCTGTATACAGTTATTTTGCAGTTCGTAAGAATATAATATTTTCATTAATTATTTAAAATATTGTAGCCTGGGGTGATTAAAATTAGTAAAAGTCAGTTGCATAATTGATTTTTCTTAAACAATCAGTCTAAATCCAATTTAAATGGAAATCTTTATTTTAAACCTAATCGTAGAGCTCCGCGTAAAATGTCTTACAATTTCATGACAAAAAATTCTTTTAACTTGCTTGGGTTAAACCCGGTAACCTTGTTTTGACGTTTTTATATAATGTATCTGATAAAAATGAGTACTTAAATTGCTTATAAGAATGATTGCGATTTTTAATAAGACTACGTATGAAATATTTTGCTAATACTTGGAGCTAGATGGGAAATTCGATCTTGTTGACAAGCTTATTATAAACGCCCTTCACAATTTCATTTTAAGAAACGCTAAACTTTGTTTTGGTTTGAAACAAAAGACGTTTGTTAACTCGGCATAGCTTGATCGGAAGTTCAAAACCACCGATATCAACCTTTAATTACAAATTAGAATTTCAAATAAATTAAAATTGTGTGCATCCACAGTACGCCTGCATAGTTTTTAGATTTAATTTTAAAAAAATTCGAGATCTAAAGAAAATGATTTTATCTCTATTTATTCTTGTAATAAATGCATTCGAATGTCATATTCGTCTTAGCACATTCCTAAAGCTTCTGTAGTACTTGATAATAGTTACACTGCTCGGAAGAACTGTTCGTCTCTATCCCGGAATCCACGAGGCTGCATAAAATGAAACAAATTCATTCGTAAATGCATTGCGGTTTGTAATGGTCTCGCAGCATCATTGAGAATGGCTTTGAAAAATTTCAAACTTCGTAGGCGTACGCTGCATGTTGTTTGGTACATTGTAGAGATTTACTATACAAGCTAAAAACTATTTCCATTTTTAAATGCTGCAAAATTATCAACATATAACAAGTAAGTCAATATTCATACAAAAATGTATGGCAAGACCCAGTCAACATTTACCGTTGAAACTATAACGCTGACTGAGAAAGGTTACATTCTAGAAACACAACGATTGCTTCCAGCTAAACAATCGATCAAAAGAGGGGAAAAAAATTCTCGATTTGTTTCTTCTCCAGTTAGAAGAGACATAAATAGTTTTCCTTAAAATTGTATAGTTTCTGCGGTGTGTATTCTACCGTACCAAAAGACCAATAAGTGACTAGAAGACTTTTTTATTTCCCAAAGTAAGGAAATTAAAAACACATCTTTTCCGTTTGTTTGCGTTCTCAAGTTGCCGGTTCTGCGATGGCATTTCTCAATCGAACTTTGTTTCATTTTCCGAAATGTATTCCTTTCTCCCTTTCGCCTCGGGGCGAAGGCAAGGAAATATTTCCGTTCGAATTTCACCCCAAAATTTTTAAAACATAAAAACAGAATCTGAAACTCGAAATCGATTTGCACGCCGTTTGTGTACCAAGTTAAAGAGATCTCATCCTGCCGAAAGAAAGTGGGAAAAGAAGAATGGTTAAAAGGGGGTCTAAAATACAAATATTTTGAAACGCAAAGAAGGTGTATTTAATTTGCAAAGGAATAAAAATCGACTTTTGCCAAACTGAGATTAAAAAAATATGAAAAAAACAAAACTTATTTCAATTCAAATGCTAATTGAAACTCTGTTCATTTGTGAAATGGTCGCTATTTTTAAGATGGAAGATTAAAACTACTTATATTAATATTTTCAAACATTTTCTGGTTTGATAAATTTTTATTCAACCTCTTTTTTTCTTCCGTTCATAAATTTTTGAGTCCGGATGAAAAATCATAACGATTGCAATCAAATCATGATCGCAATGAAACGGAAACAAATTTTAAACAAGAAAAGTGTTTGCTGATGCAGTGTAAAGCAATTATTTAGAAAACTCTGTCTTAATTCAGTTCCTAAATTTTATTTCGTTAATTTCATTAATTATAATTTTTAAAACTATTTTAAGCTTATTTTTCATACTTAGAGAACGATACGTTATAAAAATATATGTATTATATATTTTGGGCATGTAGATAATCAATCTTGTAAAAATTCTTGCATTATTATGCTCCATTTAGCTTCTAAAGTGCTTTTATAAATACTTCTATGTCTGTATTTATTGTATAATAACTTTAAGACAACTAACGAATAAGTTATCAATAAATATCCAATAGACTGATCAACAACTCTATTGCCTATAAAGATATTTCAACAATTTGTATTCGTGGTAATTTTGCCTAATATACTAATACGTCATTCGAATTAACTCAATATTGTAGCCTTATTAGAATATTAAGTTCACTGGCTGCGTATCTATCCTCTAACACCGCAACAGTCTTTTACAAATTTCTATTAAACGTAAATCATTAGTCAGGCTATTAATTATGTAGCTTTAATTTGCGTGCTACAATATTTTAGCCTCGGTGCTTCTATTGAATTTCATTAATAGTGAAGCTATTAAATAAATGATCGCTGTAAAATATAGTGATAAATATTGAAATAGATAATGTTATAATTTCTGAGCTATTTCGTTTACCATTTTATTGTCAGCTATTTCTAGTGATAATTATGGCAAAGAGGAATAATTTTTAAAGCATTACGCAAGTATATTAGTAATATGTAATTATAATTTAGATGTAAATAAAACAATAAAACTGCTTTCTTATTGTAATAAATGACTTGGTGCCTTAGAGCGTGATGAAGAAACATTCGAGCCGGATTAAATTCCATATTTATTTAAATTCACATTTTGTGGCCGCAATTCACTTGACACTCCAAACGTGCTTATTTCAAGAACATTTTTATACTATGGCAATGTAAGCGAACATAGATGATAGCAGAAGTGTCTTAACAGGATGAACGCATAAGCGAGAAGAGAACGAGAGTCACCTGCATTAAGCGTTACGTAAAATCGCATGATTACTTTGAATGACGTAGTTTAGACTTATAGCTCTGTTTTTAAGACAGAGAGATGAAGTCCCCAAATTAAATAAAAAATAAAAATGGGTACAGCCAATTAAAATTAGAAGTTTGTTTTTATATTTTTTATCTTGCATATATGTATATAATTTTGTATAATAGCAGGTTAGTTAATAGCGTCAATGTAAAATGTGGTGTTACCATAAGGAACAACATCAGTATCTTCTAGTAGAGATGCGGGTAACTAGAAAATACTCATCAAGAATTAAAGTAATAAAAGCTAGGGTGAAAGAAAATAATAAACATGCTGGTGGCTGGCATTGAACCGAAGACAAAGAAAGACCTCAGCGATGAACAACAACGATTCTTTTGTCTACCATTAGTATCGGTTTTGTTTGCTAACAGATTTTCTTTTCCCCTTTCCAGAAACGATGAAGTGATCCCAGGGGACCACAGCACGACCTACGTCATCTCACGGGTCACACGTGATTATAACAAGGACACCATCAGCTGCGAAGTGAGCAACGCCGTGGGAACCACCAAGTCTACTCACACCCTCAACGTTCTGTGTAAGTAGTGCTTGATTCATTAATACATCTGTCCATCTTCAAGTATCCGGTTACTGTTAGAGGACTGCATTTTAATTCTCTTTCTTCGTTTATTGTTTATTAATTCATCACTCCGTGAATATGAAATGGAGCTCAGAAAACATTATATGGATCTAGTTAACAAGATATGATGATTGGATGGGAAGATTCCGTTTTACACTTTAAAAGTGTTGAGGGTTGTCATTGGAATGTCATTTCTAATACCAATTTCTTTTCTTTCGTGTTGTTTCATGTTCTTTCTATTCATATTGCTGTTTCCACGCTGTGTTTAAATTTCTTATGGAATAAGATATGGCAATAATATTTTTTATAATGGTGGCTTGTGTTTCTGTTACCGAGCCTGAAATATTATATATAAACTGTATAAAAATTTAAAAAGAATACATATTATAGCAACTGATTAGACCTTTCTGATTATGCAAATTATGAGAGGCATGTGTATTGCTTGTGTTAATTAATAATAATTAAAAATCAATAATTTGTTGAAAAGCGGATTTGATCTTACCGAATCAGAACTACAAAAACTAATTAAAACATTTTTATCTGTAGTAAAATTAAATTAGCAAAAGCTGAGGTTGTATTCTAGGATATACCTAAATGTTTAATTTGCGATATAAGAGTATTAAAATTCTGTAGATTGCGGAAGCATAAAAAAAGCGATATTAAAAACGCAACGAAAGTATCTTCGCTGTAACTTTTTATTGCAATAAAAGTAAATGAATCCATTGGAGGAAAAGGAATAAAACGTTTCACAGTTTAGTATGCATTACAAAGGCTATATAAAAACATAGTCTTGATATTTATCAGACATATTTTTCAAAGAAAACTCCAAATATTAATGCCTGCAATAACTACCGTTATCCGTCACAAAAAATTTCAGAAGTCCATAAAGAAAGAGAATTCTGTTGATTAATGATTGGTCGAAACGCGGCAAAGATTTCCTTAATACGTAATTCCCTTAATAATGTTATATATATTTCCAGATTGCTACTATAGACCGAAGTTTCAGTTATCTTCTTTCAAAAGTTTATCAAATTGTACTTTAACTATCTCCCAATGATATGTAATATATGAATTCAGTTTATTGCGTCTGAGGCTGAGTTGAAACACGCATAGCTGGTGCAGCGTACTTTGCTGTATTTAATGTATTGTAATATTTTAATTTCCAGCTTTGCCACATATATAAAATGTGCTTCTAATTTTCTTGTAGATGGTCCGGTATTTCGATCTACAATCGAAAACGTGGCCGCTGACATTGGATCTGAGGTTTCATTGTCCTGTGATGTTGAAGGTAATCCTCAGCCTGAAACAATGTGGACTTTCGAAGGCTCCGACGCTGTACTTAGTACAGAATCTCGACTGGTGATTCCGCAACTAACCATTGACAGAGCTGGCAAATACACTTGCCGAGCAACAGTAGCTGGTTTCGCCGAAATATCGACGGATGTCTTGGTCTTCATCAAAGGTACCACATAACCGTTTTAAAATATGTCATATTCTTTCCCAATTGTTTTAAATCTATCGTTAGCTTGTTGAGAAAGTTCATTATTTAATTAAAATATTGATCTGAACTAAATGTATGTGGTAAGGATAAGCTTACTACATAAATGTTAGTAATGTTTGGGCTCAGTGAGATTTGAGTTTAGGACTCCCTTGTGTTGCTAATGGATTTTATAATAAAACTAGCTATTTTGTTCTTCTTCGGTTTCTGATGATTTCTTTTTGAATTGATTAGCGGATTGCAGATGAATATTTATTTGACCTCGGAAGTAAGTAGCATTTCATTGAGTGCGCTCTTGACAAGGTTAGACGTAAGCCATCTGTTGGATTTTGAAGTCTCCGTTACATTTCGTCTTGTGTAACTGAGACTTCAGTGTTTTTTTTTTTTTTTTCTGTTGACGCCTGGAAACAAGCATAATTCTTCTTGGTTTGGTTCCCGGTGAATTCAAATAGTTTATATTTTTCATCTCTAAAAAAAATAATTTCATTTTTTATGCTGAATTATTTTTCTTCTTTTGCTAATTTTGGTATTTTTTACTTTCAATTTTATTTCTATTTCTGTAATTTATATTGTTATTATTAATACATATGAATAACTGTTTTACATTCGCGCAATAATATATTCACCATCGGCCAGTTTTTGATAACTGTAGATATTGTTAACTTTATTATGGCTAGTATGGAATTGAATTAGGCGTTACCATTATATATACGTTCTTCGTAGAACAGTTTCAAAATTTTGGATCCTTTCACTTTAGAAATAATGGCATTTAACAAACCTATCAAATTTTAAATAAGCTTTATTAACTCAGTCAATTAATATTAGATGTCAGTGGGCTCTAAGTAGACAATTAATGAATAAATTTGGTGAATTACTAGATCATATCAGTACGGTACTAAAAATTTATAAATTTTTTGATGTCGAATGAGGATCTTAATTTAGATACTTTTGAGTGAAAGGATCTAATAACAGGGATGTAAGTGTGATAATAAGTTTTATTTATTTGTTTACTCTGAAGAATGAGGGTTGGTCTGTCGTGGAGTTTTATGTAAGGCTTCGGTAAATCCAGTATCATAAACTCTTATAAATTAATATTATATAATGAACTCATCAAATGATTATTCAAAGGGTTCATGCTGTCATTTGTAATTGGACGTGCAAGTATGTGCTCTATTAAATCTTTATCGAGATTCTCTCCACTTTCAAATGTGCTCAGTCTGAAGGTCTTACATACTACGTGGCTTGATAAAGTTATAAGACTGATTCTTTTATTCAGTATCAAATGATTTAACCGGCTCTATATATTTTTTTCTTCAAATATGAGTCCTTTACACTGAATTATGCTTTTCATAGTACATTGTAAATGATTCAAAAAACATAAAATAGGCTGTTCTGTGGTATTTTCTTTAGCTGTGAGAGCGTATTGGTTTTCATTTCCTTCAACATCACAGGTATATCTGAAATAAAATTTGAATATATTCACTTGTTCTCTAAAGAAATACAAAACTCTCAACGATATGATTAAATCTTGAATTTCAGATTCCACAGACTAAAGTTTGAAAACATTTACGGCATTGGTTAAAATGCCATACGAATTGCAATTGTTGAATCACTCAAATCAGCAAAATGAGTCGATAATTGTTCTTCATTGTAGACGATGGCCATTTTGTTTTTAGAGACATGTGACACTCAACGATTGTCTTCATTACTGCATGGATTGCTCGAAAGAATTCCACATAAGCATAGTAATAGCTCTTTAAGTTTCATAATTTCTTTTAACTATTCTGTCAAACTCATAACAAGACTTGAAATATCTTGGCTTACCTAACAAAACTTGATACTTTATTATTTTATAATAGCAAAACTTTTGTGATTATAGTGGTAAGAAAATTTATCAACATATAATCAATTAACTGTTCGTTCTCATAGATATTTAATTTTCTCTTGGAAATGAGAATTGTTTAATAGAAAGCAAATTATTTTTATATTACTCACATTTTACACTTTTAAAATGTATCAGTTTGTTTGAGACTAACTGGTCAGTTTTCATACCTCAGCGCGTTGAAAGAATGCCGCATTTATTATCTTAATCTACACGTAAAGTATTTCTTTTCCATTTTTGTGTAGATGAAATTCCTCTTTTCTTCTGTGTAAATATTACATTCTGTGCTATTTGCCGACATGTATGACTAAAGGCCTACTGTATAATCAATGAGCAAAAGCAAGGAATTATGCTGCCATCTATCGGCATTTATTTCATATAAATAAAATCTGTCATGAGCCATCGGGAAACAAATTGTGTAGTTGCAATAAATTGATTGGACAGCAACAGATATTTTTTCGTTCAGCTTATGGGGAAAGAGAACTTACGAAATGATTTAAGTAATATAGAAATGCTAATAAACATCCTTAGAATAGAAAGAATTTTGTCTTTTCCATTTCAGGGCCTCCAAGAGTGCGAAGCCCGCCAGTGCAGTATGGAGTGGAAGGCGAAGTAGTCAAATTAGAATGTATCATATCTTCTGTGCCTCCCCCTACAAGGATACTATGGTCAAGAAATTCACAGGTGATTAGCAGTTTATGAGATCTTTTTTCTAAATGCTGGAGGCGTAATATTTTATAATTAATGTTTAGGTTTCAGTGTTGGAGAAAATAAATGTTCTTTAATACTTATGAAGGACAATATACAATTAATATATTTTTTAAATATTTTTCCACACAATTCAAGAACACATTTAACGTAATTCCCGAAAATTAACGCAACGCACAATAATCATTGTATAAAATGCTTAAAACTTTTTAAGGCATCATCAACAGGACACACATTTAAAATTTTAACAACTTATTATAATATTTCTCGTAATTATGTAATTATTCATACTGAAACTTTAGAAACTCTAAAAGCGAGTCAAGACTTGCCTTTGATTGCAAGTCTAAGTTCTTGAATTTTCATTTATTCTTCCTTCATTTTAATTTTAATTTGAAGCAATCCACGCTTTAAGTACAGTAGTGAGAAAATTGCACCTGGAAATGAAGAACCTAGCGTGAGAGCTTCGTTCGGCGCTTTTTGTTTGCTGGCGTTTTAACACTGTACAGACGATTTAGTTAATTCTCTTTTGACTTCAGTTTAACCGAAACCATATCTCCCTGCACGAACCCTTTTCTCAATGGAAGCTTTTAGAACAAAGTTTTATTCACAGATTCATTCTGAGGATTTTTTATTTTGTTGTTTGACTTATGAGAGGCGAATTAGAATAAAATTTCGTTTCTATTTCAATTACGTGCTTTATATTTATTTCTCAGCCAAAAAAAAATGTGTTCTGTAATGATTTTTTTCCTCTTCAGCACGTGGATATTGACAATAACGATGGGTACGAGATTGTAACGGAACCGATGGCTGATGGTGTCAAGAATAATCTCATAATTCATAACGCGGATGAAGACGATTTTGGTCAATACAACTGTACAGTCTGGAATACTTTTGGCCAGGATAGTATGATCATACTCCTTAAAAAACAAAGTAATTATCTTATTTTAGATTTTTGTTTTTTATATATATAATTTGTTTTTAAATGTTAAAATTTTCGCATAGCATTTAATCTTAAGAGACTTAATTTTGATTTTTATGCATTTAGAAACACATTTCATGTATGCTGCAGTCACAGTTAATGCTGATATGATGATTATTATCCTGTTTTAGATTTCTGTTTTATGTATCTTATTTCTTTTCGAATATTAAAATGTTCGTATAGCGTTTAATCTTTAGAGACTTATTTTGATTTTTATCCATTTAGAATTATATTTCAGTTATGTTGCCGTTATAGTTTATGCTGATGCTGGAATTATTTTATGATACTGTTTTTGAAAAGTTTCGACATTTAATAGCTGAGATAAAATGTAATTGCGCTTTTATCTGATGGGCAGACATAATGTAAAACATAAAGGGCTAATTGTTAAAAAAGATATTTTATTGCTTCAAAGTAATTTGTCTGGATAGATTTTGCAGCAAAAAACTGCAACATTATATAAAACTTTCCTCTTTTTTTTCCACTTTCTTTTCTTTTTCCCACCGTCATCTTCATATTTTTATTTACTTGGCATAATTTTGTTAGCTATTAGCCCAAAGAGGCATTAACCTAGTAGGGCTACTAGTCTTGAAAAAGCATTTTGATAGCTTATGAATCGCTTATGAAAGAAATGAAGTTTATCACTTTTCAGATTAATGCCACTAAATAATTGTATTATTTTTAAAGAAACTAAATAATGAAGAATCTGCATGGATGTATATACGTTTGCTGAATTGTGAAAAAAGCAATGGTACCTAGAGTCCTCAAATTTTGAATAACATTGTCCTCCACCCGACTATGGGCACCTGGAAGCCCAAATTTAGAATTTGTTTTATTGTCTATTTCATATCTTGTTAACCTTTACAAAACTCAGCGATTTCAAGGCGAGCAGTGGCAACACTATAGGGAATGAAACGTTTTTATCTTCAGGATGTGAGACTGTATGGGGGAAATTCTAATGATATGCTTTTTTTAAATATTCGTAGCCCAAAGTTTTTTTATTTCTTATTCTTATTTCACAGATAGTTATTTCAATTTCTCATATCAGTGAGTGCTTTTAGTCTCTTTACTCTGTTAATCACGTGATTCTCTTTCATTATTTCCTTAGCTTCATACTATTCGTACAGTATTTTATTCTTGAATGTTGAAATAGTTACACTTTTTGTGATTTCCAATATTTCCTCTTATTAAAGTTTCTTCTGACTTTTTCATTCGCTTCTAGTAATGTTTCTTGTAATAAAATTCTTCTTCGTGTAATTGAAATAGCAACTAATAAGCAGTTTTACGTGTAATATTTAAGCAATTATTGTAATTTTTAGTAGTTCACGAGAAAACTTGCAGTGCACAATAATTTCCGTCGTCAAAGTAAACAAAAGTATTTTAACCATGAATATTGATTTATTCTTTAAAATCCATCTTCTATACATTTAGCATGTTATACATAACATCATTATGTAATAATTTTAATATATTAATAGTTTTCATTAAAAGTTTAATTTGTTTAATTTGAAACATTCTTTGAAATAACACAAAAGAGAGCAGTCAGCTTGATTTTATCTTAATTTTAAAAAATTGCACGTTGATAAGAATTATTAGATCAGATGAATTCAAAAAAAAACAGATAAAAAGTTTAGAATTCTACATAGCAGAAGATCTGTAATACTCTGAACCGAACTAACGTTTCCAGCTGAAAATAATGGTAGAATAACTAGTTGTTCTGTGTTAAATATAAACCTATTAAATATTATCTAGTAACAGCTATCTTCATACAAGACTATATTTCAAATATTTATTTTCCATTATTTATTGTTTGTAGAATTAAACAAAAAAATTCCGTTTTTACTGCAGGCTTACAGTTCAAAGTATTTTAAATTATCTTTATTACTTATATTAGTGTTAAAATTTAATAATATAATGCTCCCTTACGTATAGAATTTGCATTGCTAAATGCGGAAACTTAATCACTGATAATAATTTCAATTAAAAGCAAGTAATTTATAAAGTTGTTTTTTGGAATGTTGCATAGTTTACCATTATTTTTAGTTAAAAAAAAAACGAAATCTGATATAGAACAAATTTTGTTAATTTCTTTGGAAAATTTTCCAAATGAAGTGCATAATTTAATCTCCAGCTATATAATACTTATATACAGTGTCTCAAAAAAGTGATGGGACACTTGTGCTTTACAAAAGGAAACTGCAATAAAAGAAATTTAAAAAACATGTAAAATTTTTTGTGGGTGTGTTTCATACTTAAATTAGTAACAATTATTACTAACATACGTTTCTCAAAATATTAAATATTAATTTAAATAAAATACAATTGTTTAGAACGGAGCAGAAATGGCTCCTAAGTGAGGACATACTTTTCCATCAATATTTATCAAAAATTTTACTTTTTAAAAGGTTTTAATATTTTGTTGGATTTCCTTTACTTTTAAAACATGATTTAATCTTCTGAGATGGATTTTTTTTGGGATTTCTGGAGTGATTTTACCCCATTAATCTTGGAAGCACCGATTTTAATTGTTGTTTGAAATGTGTGTTTGCGAAGGTCTTGATCCAATTCTTGCCAAATATTCTCTATGGGATTTAATTGTGGAGTGTGGGGGGGTTGTTTTTATTTTCGGACAGTTATACAGCAGCCAGGTATAACGTTCAAAAGGTGGCGTGGGGTCATTGTCCGGGTAGAATTTAAAATGTTATGAAGGTTCAATTTGTGCTGATGATTCAATTTTGATTTAAATGCCAATATACTTGTACTGATCCATTATCTTTCAAAAAAACAAGATTATCGCTCAGGGACGACATACACCCCTATACCATAACTCCTCCGCCACAGTTTTACTGTTCACCAAGTCTGTTGCGAATCTTCCTGGGTTTCTCCCACCAGATCTACCGTCGGAACCAAATATATTAAATTTACTCTCATCAGGCAAATGTAACTTCATTCCAGTATCAGAATTCCTATTTATGTTGGATTTTGCGAAAGCCAGTCTGAGTTGTCTATTCTTTTCACTCAAGAAGAATTTTTTCCTGGCTGCTCTACCGTGATATCCAGCATATCTAATTACTCTTATAATAGTCTCAGGATTAACAATTACTCCATATAATGCTTGTAAATCAGACAGCAACTATAGGAGCACTCATTCTTGGAGTTTTTTTTTAATATTTCCAACGATAATTCGCTTTATTCCTTTGGATAGCTTTGATGGTCGGCGAGGTCTTCTGTTATCCTGAATCATATGATTCTTTTTATATCGTTTAATGATATTGAAAACTGTTTAATGCTGAGTTAACTGTTTCAGTAGTTTCTCTAATGATTTTCTTCGTTCATATGCAAATAAATAATTCGAATTCCAGGCAAAGTTCTTTTCCTTTAACATTCATGCTGCACAGAGCTAAAAAAAAAAAAAAACAAACTGGAGAAAAAAGACTTTTTATAAATTGCAATTGTTTTGAGTAAAAATTTACCCCAAATTTTTGTTGTTTTCCAGTATTTATTGCTTATTCAGACGATGTCCCATCCGAGTACGAAGCCATTTAAGTGAGCCATTGTTCTAAACAATTGTATTTTTTAAATTAATATTTTAATATTTTGAGAAAATGTATGTTATGTAATAATTGTTACTAAATTTAGTATGAAACCCCCACAAAAAATTTTACATTTTTTTTTAAATTTATTTTATTGCAGTTTCCTTTTGTAAAGCACAAGTGTCCCATCACTTTTTTGAGACACTGTATCTGTCATCTTTTGGAAAGATTTTCTAAAAACATCCAACTTGTTGGCTTTGAAATTTCTCAATGGAGCATTGGCTTTATTCTCTGCGTATTGTTTTCAAATATATTTTTAATGGAAGATAAGAAAAAGGATCAATAAAATTTCTTATTCTGTAATTAACTAACTAAATTACTTATAACGCCATGCAGTTCGAATTCAAATCAAGAAGACTTTCAATCTGATTTTATTTTGAAGTCGTACTGTACGACGTTTAATTTGTAAGTTGAAGTATTATAATTTGTAACAAAACTGAGTTAAAAACTTCTCTTATTAGAAGAAATTATTTCCAAAAGAACAACCATAACTTACTTGCCATCACAAGAATCACACATTTTGAATCTCATTTCGATCTTACAGTACATATGACAGAAATCAATCTGCATAAAGAAAATACCGAAACATTCGACGAAATAGAATTCAAAACTTCTGCTGATTGTTCTTTGGAAAAATATTCCGAAAAAGATAAAGCACTCCTTTTCGCGCCGTATGGCATTTAAGTCTTCCAAACGATCCACCATAACCAACATTTTCGAGTGCGAAACGACCAGAAGAATTCGAAATTCGCTCTTTCATCAGATTCCGTAAACCCGTTTGAGCAAAACTTTACGAGCACTAGTAACTGACATTAAAAACATCGTCATCGTCTGTCTGGCCTCAACCCATTCTGAATTTTGAAGTTAGAAGAACTTATAGCGGCCATTTCAAGATGGCTGCTTGTATAGAAAGTCTCTTCGTTATCAAACCAATGGCGCGTCTGATTTTAAAGTCTCTTTCTCTCTCCTTGCACTGAGATAATATCTGTGCTCTGTCAGTAGTGATAAGGGTAATAACGGGGGGCCGTCACTACTCCGTGCCTAATTATTCCTTTCCCGAAGAGGGATTTTATGCAAATTACGATTCTGCTGAGTTTCTGATGAAGAATCTTTTAATTGTTCAAATAGTCTAATTGGTCAACACTTTCAAATAGCAAGCGCATTTTAAATTAAATAAATATTTGGATCTAGGCGCTTGGTAAATTCACCTTGAATTTTCGATTTTCTGCCACATGATTAAATTATTTCCAAAAGAACAACCGTAACTTCTGCTGCCATTTAATTAATTTTGCTGAGGTATGTAATCTAATTTTTAATTTTTAGTCTAATTTAGATGTAGGATATTGTTTTCCGAAATAAAC